GTGTGTGTGTGTGTGTGTGTGTGTGTGTGTGTGTGTGTGTGTGTGTGTGTTTTTTTTATTATTTATTTAATTTTTATGTATTTGGGTGGGTGATATAGCTACAAAAAAAGATAATTTGATAATATAGACATTTGATATAGCCCAGTAATACATAATACTGAATAGAATATAAATAGAAAATGTAAAAGTATCTTTTATTTATTATATATATATATATATATATATATATATATATATATGCATTCCAGTCAATGCAACATATCAGACATTTGATATAGCCCAGTAATACATGCAATATTATGAAAATAGGAAATTAAACTGAGTAAACATATTTTTAACATTTAAAATTTTTGATTTTGCAGTCTGCTGGTTGTGTTTGGCAGTGAGACCTCTCCAAATTTTAGACAATTTGTCACTTAAGCATATATGGATAATATCCAATCTTAATTTAATGTGGTCATTTTTTATTGTTGTCTTTTATCGAGAAATAAAAGGGAAGCTTCAAAACCGATTTCCAAATTAAGCTCAGTTGCCATAATGTGCATTATGCACCGCACAGATCATGCACCCTTGTCCTAGTGTCTCTGTCTCTTTCTGGAAAGCTGAAGTAAGCATGTTCACCCTTCCGGTATGTGCAGGATTTCTCTTAGGGCCGCCTAATTGCAGTAAACCTGCTTAGCACTGGGACCTGTAATCATTTTCTGTTTAGCACAGCAGGACTGTGGAGAGTCTGTCATTACCTCAGTAAAAGTCAATTTACAGTGCTCCCTTAAACAACATAATCAATGAAGGATCTCTATCAATGCAAGCCTGGAGTGCACAAATGCGTTCACACTGCTCTCTCAGTCAATGCAGGCTCTCTATCAGCGCTGGGGTAGATCATGCATCCAATGCTTTTGTCTATTTGTACAAGTTGCCCTGAGCCAGGACAGGGCAAATAAGCTCATCTGTACTGTAGAAACAAAATTAATCTTGCCTCTTTTCAAAACTGCAAATTGTCTCAGTGCTGTTGGTGTTACTGAATGTGCCGACGGTTCTCAGGTTTAAAAGGGTGTATTTAAGCAGATAATAGGCTTGGGGAAAATTACTAAAGCTTAGAGTGCATTCTCTTAATGCCAAGGTATCATTGTACCAGCCCAAACAAATTCAGTGTGATTAGGTCATGTAAAACATATAACTCGTTGTGAGAATATATTTATGATTACAAATTTTAATGTTAGGTATGATTAATTGTGATTAATTACGATAATTGTGATATTATTAGTTTTGTCTTTTGGAGAATGTCATGTCAATATTTGTGTGAAATGCCTTATTATGACACACACAAACTGTAGGCTTTTATATTTTTCATAGGAGAACATTCTGGAAAGGATTCACCTGCACATCGCTCCCGATGCAGAGACTGACGCCTGCACATCTAAGTCCTGTATCACTCACCAGAAGTTTGCTATGGCACTTTATGAACAGGTATTGTAGCTTTTTAATACCCCACATGCACACACACGCATGGCATGTGAGTAACAGAGGATTGATTGATCACTGTCCTGTGACGGCGGTTTTCAATCAGTCGGGTACAGTGGGCGGAAAACTCACAGGGAATACTAATACAGGGACATTTACATTCACTCTCCCTTCTTCCTCTGAGAGATGAGAGCAAAGCCCTGATAATACCATAGTACTCATATAGTGTGTTAAATACACTACCCTTAAAAAGTTTGTGTGTGTGTGTGTGTGTGTGTGTGTGTGTGTGTGTGTGTGTGTGTGTGTGTGTGAAAAAAGTACAAGGATGTAATAAATTGATCAAAAGTGACAGTAAAGACATTAAAAATATTATTGATAGTAATAATAAATGTTTCTCGAGCATCAAATCAGCATATTAGAATGATTTCTGTAGGATCATGTGACACTGAACACTAATGATGCTGAAAATTCAGCTTTAAAATCACAGATTCTATTAAAATAGAAAAAAATTAATAGTAATATTTCATAATGTAACTGTTTTTTACTGTATATTTAATCAAATAAATGCAGCCTTGGTGAGCATAAGAGACTTAAATAATTGTATTGATACCATATTTATGTACTATAGTATTTATTTGGTTCTTCAGAGTACCTCTGAAGTCATACATGCCCAGTAAGTATTTCTATTGCATAATAAATTAATCAAGGTACAACCATGGTACAAATTAAATATTTGACAATGATTCATTCTTGTTTTGTCTGTAAAAGTAATTTTTTAATTGGTTACACCCTCAGGTTTAACCCATCTGAGGCATCTCTTACATCACATACAGTAGCGTAATTGAGGCTTTACATAATATAGCAGTCATCGCTCGTGATGCATGATTGTGTGTGCTCGTGTTTTCCCCTGCAGTCAGTGTGTAGGAGCTGTGGCGCGTCGTCCGACCCGCTACCCTTCACTGACTTCACTGAGTATGTGTCAACCACAGCCCTCTGGTAAGCCAGCGCCATCATGCCAGACACAAGACGTGTTAGACGTGTTTGATTGACCTGAAAAGATCAAAAACTGCTTCTCTGTTTCTCTTTCGTCCTCTTTCTCTGCACTCCAGCCAGCAATTCTTGGAGAGGAGAGATGAAAGGTTTGGGGAGTTGCTTCAAGCCGCCAGCACAGCTGGAGATCTGCGTAACTGTCCGGTAGGTGGTTGCTCATGTTGATTAATAATGCTGAATTTACTAGCACTTTCAGCCCTGAGAGGACACCGTCATGCATATAGTATGATGGCTCTTTCTGCGATGTGATGTCATCAAGCACACTCAAGGACAAACACACACACACACACACACACAC